AATAACCAGAAATGTCCTAGTAATGAAAAGAAAGAATACCCATGATAAATGCTGACCCAAAAATATGCTGTCCCAGCTTTCATATATTGATAAGTTGGTATAGTAATGTAACTAAATATATTTTCAAAGTGTTCCTCCCATAACTACATACTGAGTTACTTTTCCCTGGGGTAGTACCTGTTTGGTGATGGTGCGGACAGTGGAGAGGCACAGTGGGGCATATTTTGCGTGGTAATCGAACAGACACATGTCCAGCGCTTCAAAGATGATGGCTTTCCCCAAACGAGTGTCAAACACCTCCAAGAATTTGACGATGTTTCTCTGGTCACATCCTTCCTCCATCAGTCGAGTCAGGATAGAAATCTGAACAAACAGAGACAAGAATTCAATGAAATCAGATTAGGCACCGAGGTAAAAAGATGCGTCATTAAAGAGGCACTGTGTAACTTTTCTGGTGGGGAGTTTCAGCTGTTAGATGTTATCGCTGTGTCTTGAAAGGTTCACAGTAAAGCGTCCATCTTGTCTGTCTTGCTTTGTTTAGTTACATTTTTGAAAGTTGTAGATGACTAAAATGCATACTAGACTACATTTTATTTATTTATTTATTTATTGTTTTACTGTTATAAATTGAAGCCCATAACTTCATGGAACATACATTCTTATTTGGTAAAATGTGAACAGGCTAAAAGTTTTGCCAGGTGAGAGTCGAGCAATGTCGATGACAAGTCCCCACCTCCCGCCCCTGTACGGTGTCCTGGTTTTGACAAACGGATATGGTCACACTAACCTGTATTCCACTGAGTCATGTCTTTTAATCCAACAGAAATTGACCGCATCAGCGCACAAGAGCTGTAGTTTTATCTTCGCTTAGTTTTTGCAAATTAGCGATGCGGTTTTAAGTTTCGTTTCTGTGAGAGTTGCGCAAAACTGAATTAAACACATTATAACCTCAAACGGATTGATGTGGCTCTAGAGTCGTTACGGTTTATATGTCGTAAAGTTGAATTTATTTATGCAGATTAGTAGTGCAGATAGTAATAATAATGATGATCATTTTAATATAAAAACGTTAATGATTAATCGATAATCGATCGTTAATTCTTCCGACGATCGATTAAGAAAATTTCATCGAATGCCCATCCCTAGATTTACTAGTGAACTGCTTTTAGTCATTTTTAGTTGACAAAAATTATGTAATTTTTGTTGTTGTTTTAGTTTGATTTAGTTTTTTTATACTTTTAGTTTTTGAAACTATTTCACAAAATTTCAACACTGGATTCTTACTGTGATTGCCTATCCACAGTTCTGACCTGTAACTTGGTGTCACTCCATGAAGAAAAGCAGGTTGTGCAAACCCTCCACCAGAAAAGTTACATAGTGCACCTTTAAATCATATAAAAAATCTAAATGTCTTACCTCTTTCTGGGTGTCCTGTTGATATAAACGGCAGTTTGACAGCCACATTCTGGAAAGTGTCCTTGATCTGACACTGGACCACTTGGGCAAATCCTCCCTTGTCCAGGTATTTGATGAACCTGTAGTTTTGGGGGAGAGATGATATGATCTCCTCCTCGCTCAGTCGGATTGTTTCCATCTGGAAATCTGAAAAACAGTACACAAACATGTCACAATGTGTTTTTATTCATGTCTAAATGCAAACTAGTCCTGACTGCAGATATGTTTGCAGAGAGGGCTCAAATGTGTTCCTCAAAGGAACTGTATGTAGCCTGTGCTCTTACTGTTTTTAAAAAAAGTTACTACAATAACAAATGAACACAACTGAACCTGTGTTACCAGAGCCTAAACCTGCAGAAATCTTACGTACAGTTCCTTTAAGAGAACACCAACAGTGATTGATTTGTGGGCGTAACAGTAGATGTGGGTAGGTCACTTTTACTTGAGTAACTTTTGAATACTTAGGTTGTGTATTGTCGTAATATTGCCTCATAAATGGTCTCTGTAGTGGCCTGTCTGTCTCTAAACAGCAGATCAGTGATGGGAGAGTGTGCGCTCTGGGCCTGGGGCTGTTCTGGAGCTGCTCTGGAGCTGCTCTGGGGGCAGTAGTGTCATGGCTCTGGTCCAGTCCACAGCAGCTGGGGGTGGCTCCAGGATATTTGAGTCTGTCTACAGTCTGTCTGCCTGAAGCTGCAGTACAGGGCTACACTGGAGCTCTGACAGTCCACTGACAACACCAACAAATGGCCCTGCTCGGCTCCATGCAAGCCCCTGAGGTTCACCCAAGGACTATAACGCAACTCTTCTATTTGTCAGAAGTAATGTTAGGATTTCAGTCAATTTTTAGTTTTAAGAATTGAATTGCTGCCCACTACTCAAATCAACATTTTAGAGCTGTCTACCGTGTTATATTGTTGTTCCCTCATCAAAAACATGCCTGATGAGGATTTAGACGTCATCCATGCATGTTTGAGTAAACGAGACATGTCTCCCAGGCACTGTTTAAACACTGTTCACGGTCAGCAGTACAATCCTATCCAAAGCTCATCCCACAAGCCTCGTCGCTCATTTGATTGAACAGCCAGATCCACTGACCCACAGGTTGATGGTGTGATTCCAGCTCCCACAGATGAATGCTGTCGTATGTCCTTGGGCAAGACACTTAACTCCCCTCAACCCCAGCGTCTGCGTACCATGGTGTATGAGCAGTGTTGGGAAGGTTACTTTTAAAATGTACTCCCCTAAAGACTACAGATTACATATCCCAAAATGTAGTTTGTAATGTAATCCATTAAATTACTTAAAGTGAGTAATCGTAATCTGAATACTTTGGATTACTTGATTTGCTGTAGAGAAGCAAAGACTAGGATATCATAACATAAGATGTTTTGTCTGCTAAAAGAAAATAAAAAACCCAGATTTTACTGAACCAGATTAAAAATATTATTAATAGAAGAGGAGGAGAACGGTCTGCACAGCATGGTTTAGACCTGGTTTAGTCCTGGTTTAGTCCTGGTTTAGACCTGGTTTAGTTTAAACCTGGTTTTAGTCCTGGTTTAGTCCTGTTTTAGTCCTGGTTTAGACCTGGTTTAGTCCTTGTTTTAGTCCTGGTTTTAGTCCTGGTTTAGTCCTGGTTTAGTCCTGTTTTAGTCCTGGTTTAGACCTGGTTTAGTCCTGTTTAGTCCTGGTTTAGACCTGGTTTACCTGGTTTAGTCCTGGTTTTAGTTTTCCTGGTTTAGTCCTGGTTTAGTCCTGGTTTAGTCCTTTTAGTCCTGGTTTAGTCCTGTTTTAGTCCTGGTTTAGACCTGGTTTAGTCCTGTTTTAGTCCTGGTTTAGTCCTGTTTTAGTCCTGGTTTAGTCCTGTTTTAGTCCTGGTTTAGTCCTGTTTTAGTCCTGTTTTAGTCCTGGTTTAGTCCTGGTTTAGTCCTGGTTTAGTTTTTAGTCCTGGTTTAGTCCTGGTTTAGACCTGGTTTAGTCCTGGTTTTAGACCTGGTTTAGTCCCATTTTAGACCGGTTTGGTTTAGTCCTGTTTTAGACCTGGTTTAGTCCTGTTTTAGTCCTGGTTTTAGTCCTGGTTTAGATCTGGTTTAGTCCTGGTTTAGACCTGGTTTAGTCCCGGTTTAGACCTGGTTTAGTCCTGGTTTAGACCTGGTTTAGACCTGGTTTAGACCTAGTTTTAGTCCTGGTTTAGCCCAAAATGTGAAAACAGCAAAATACTGCCGTGTAATCCATTTATTCCAACAAAGTAACTGTAATCCAATTACCGTTCATTGAAACAGTAACTGTAACTGAATACAGTTACTCATAATTTGTACTCTGATTACATAACTCCGGTACATGTAATCTGTTACTAACCAACACTGTGTATGAGTGTGTGTCTAAATGGGTGAGTGGTTCCTTGATGTAAATTGCTTTGAGGTGTCTTCCTTGACACTGGAAAAGTACTACATAAAAATGCGACCATTTACCAAAGGAGGACAAAAATGTGGATTAAACTGACTCTAAATTCAGCAAATCTTTGAACTACTGAGGGATTGACATACCACTTAAAAGAGCTTGCGTGCCACAGTATGTCATATACTATGGTAGGAGTAAGAAAGCTTTCAGAAATATTTGTGCACATAGAATAGAAATCCGTGCATATTTGGCTGTAGTTGCGCATAAAATAAATATTTGTAAACTCTCAAATGAGTCCAGTCGTACATAAAATATATTGTGTGCATTTTATCCATCAGAATACGAACTGAAAAGTTACGATGTCAAGAATTGCAATCAGGAAATGAAAGTTTACGATTACGCTTTCATCGGTACGAATACGAATTCACAGACGGGACTTTACTGTCAAAAATATGTAATCACTTCACAGACATTATTTATCGAGCAGAAGAAACATCGATCAGGATCAAGACTGCGCATGCTCAAGTTGTAGCAGAGTAAAAACGGAGTAATGGCACAACAAGGAGCTACAACAGCGACCAAAAAGTGGTTTCATTAAAATGTATTGTAAAAATGTCTTGTCTTGCCACACTGAATTTGGGAATCGAATGCTGTTGTGTAATATTGTGTAGAAATACCTCCTCTGAACGGGAAATTGCACCTATATCTTAGTAGATAACGTAGTGGAACATCAGACGTAACGTTATCCCAGGGCTAATTAGCAAATATAGGCGTTTTCTGCATGTTTAGATTAAAACATTCACGGCTACAGTCACAGCGAGCAGTCAGTCAGTCTTAACCGTCATCTCAGCTGCAATTCTTGCATGAAATGTGGAGTTCCTTGGGACGCTGAAATGTCCAAGTTTACACTGAACACTACTGAACTGTCCATAATATACTGCTACTGCATTATCTACTCCTAGGGGTAACCATAGACGTGTGTATATATAAATGTACAGGGAATGTAAGGACACAGCTAACCCATTAAATCTAAATAAGAAGCGTTCATACCATACCAACTTCATTTATAAAGTACCCTAAAAACTTTACAGCTGGCCAAAGTGTTGTACACAAACACCAGACAGACAAGGACAAACACAATAGAGGCTTTGCACCATCACGTGACCCCCATGGCAACGGTAACTACGCCGCCATGACACTGGGCACACTATGTCATTGACTTCAGTAGCATCGGAGAAACATGGGCAGGTTTTGTTGTGTATTTGGTTGTTCTAGACGCTCTGAAAGGGATAAAATTATTCGTTTCTTCACTGTTTCTCTGGAAATTACTCATCAGGAGCTCAAACAAGGGAATTATCGAAAAAAAGATGCGGATTATGGCTAGGTACAATATCTAGGTAAGTTAAAAAGAACATTTTACTTTATTTGCGTAGATTCAACTTGACAACTAAAATTATCTACCAATGGAATAAGTGAGTTTTTCTTAATTCAAGCAACATTTGATTTTGTTTCTTATTTTAAGTGCAAAAAGTTGTTGTTTTTTCTAAGTGTAGCAAGATGTATTTTCATATTTTAAGTACAAAAATCATCTTCCACTGGCAGATCATTTTTGTTGTCAAGTGCAATTTACTCAACTCATGATGAAATCATGATTCATGAAACTTTCTTAATTCAAGTCATCTTAACTTGACTAGATTTTGTTTTTTGCTTTGTGTAACTGCATTTTGGTCTTAAAATGCTCGTATTAACACACTTTATATCACAGGTGTCAAACATAAGGCCAGGGGGCCAGATCTCCAAGACCTTTAATCTGGCCCTCGGCTGATTTTCTACAAAAATATTTTAATTATATTTTCTACTAAAATATTGGGAATTTTCTGTGGTGCTTAGCACAGTAGCGTCTCCAGTGTCTCTGTGCGTGGCCCCTCCCACCAGAGCAGCACAAATGAAAACTTGTCTCTTTCCAAACGCTCTTAAAGGACGATCGTTTTGACTGTTGACCGTGACACCCTCATCAACAAAATGTCAAAAGTGAGAAAAGTGGAGCTGAGTGCAGGATTTTCCAAGAAAAATGGATTTATTCCTTTTTGCACACAAGTTCATGTTAAAACATTGTGTTGAAATTGCGTTTTTCTTAAAGTTTCAGGTTGTTCATAATATTATAATATTTTGTAAAGGAAAGAGTTCATCAATTTAAAAAGATTTCTGTAATAGATTTGCGGTTTTCTGCACAAATATTTGAACTTATTGTTATTTTTGGGGTTTATATGATATGACTTTTTTCTGATTCGGCCCATTTGGGATCAAAGTACGTTGGATAAGGCCCCCGGACCAAAATGAGTTTGACACCTCTGCTCTACATGATCGTGGTGAAAAAGCTGTATCAACACATCCCTAACTGTACCTACATAATAAACAGCTTGCCCGTCTAATGCATTCATTTGACACCCTCGCTTTTGCATGGATTATTACTAAAAACAGAAACTTAGCAAAACTTCCACTGGTTCACTTAACCTATAACTTACGCAAAGTGATGATCTTAGTAAGATTCCCTCCCCTCGTGACACTTAATACGTGAAATAAAGACCAATTACCTCTCCTCCATCCACCCAGGAGTTCACCGGGGCACCTCTCTCTTCACATCTCGTTAAGCCAGTGCTAAACGGCGATCCTTGTTAATAAATCCTTGAAATATTTTGAGCTAATGAACCTTCCGATCGTCACGGCGACATCAATTAAGGGCCAATTGG